TACTATTCTTTTCATGATGGAAAACTAAATTGAACACTTCATTAGACACGCGGCCTATTCTTCCACCCTTAATAATAAAAAAAGTATCGAGAAATAATTAGATTAGTAAAATTAGAGGCATTTTTTGATATACAAAAATATTCATGTATAAAAAAAAAAAAAAAAATGTGGAAAAACAAGGCTACTACGGGTCTACTTTATTACCTAATGATTCATGAAAAATAGTTAAATCAAGAAAGAATGAGAGGTGACTTCGTTAAATTAACACTTCTGCTATTAACTTTATATGAACAATACGAATAACCTTAAAACCTTCAATATCTAAAATTTTTTTCCAGAATGTTTTTTTTTTTTTTTTTTTTTTTTTCCAATAAGTATAATAATAAATTTATATAATAAGATATGTATATTATTTGCCATTATGAAAGTCAACAGACATAAATATACACAACAATACATTCTCTTTCCAGAAACATAATAACCTACTAATATGGCGTGTCATTTTATTTGTTTCCCATAATAGCAATGGATAATAATGCAATGCATTTCCTTTTAAAAACTGGCAAACAGCTGCCGAGAGTAAGTGTTATCGACAAAATAAGGAATAAATAAATCTGCTCGATGCACTACAGGTAAGATGAAATATGAGGACTGTACTTTTTCTCTTTCTTTTCTTCCGCATATCAGGCGACGATTCGATTCAATCTGTCTTTGCTATGTGCACGTGACATCACGTCAGACACTGAATGGCAAGAATGTAAAGTCAAATTATTCAAATCGGATTGTCCACGCAGAGACTAATATACCGAAAGTAGAGACATTCTGCTTGTTGGGATAAAGAAAATGTAAGAAAGCAGCGGAAGTAACATCGAAACGTATCGTATCCCATACGTCAATTACCGTAAATATTCAGGTTCCGTTTTATGAGAAATATTTAGCAGAAAAAAAAAGAAAAAAAAAAGAAAAAAAAAAAAAAAAAAAAAACGAAGAAAAAAGAATAAGGATACTTTTGCTCGAAAAATATACAGTTTATAATGATATTTTTTATAATTTAAAAGTTCTTTCAGAAGCAAGAATTTTTTATTTGAAATTGACTTAATTTATCAATAATGATTTCTTTTTTAAATTAATGTATTGCTTATAGTGCTTTACGAAATTCTTGATTCTTTCGAATTCTAATTAGTGTTTGATTTAATCAATAGGTGTCTCTGGCTACTTAATTACTATAGTGAGCCTCATTTGATAAGGATCTTATTATCTTTCATATATGAAATTAAAAAAAAAAACAACAATTAAAAAAATTGGCTGGCAAATAAATTTCTAAGTATATGGGATTTTAGTTGTAATTTAATAAATTTAGACAAAGATATCTATCTACAAGATAGTCTGTTATGTGAATTGAACGACCCTTTTTTTTTTCTTTTTAAATTTTTAAGTGTCTTTTTTGTTAATTAGAACTGCAATTTGCTTAATTATAATTTCTAATACTTTTCCTGTTAATACTACAAACACGATTGTCATTACTTTCATAGATCTTGAAAACACCTGCGTTTCCATAGCAGAAGTATCTTACTTTGCTATTTACCGTTCTTACTGAAATTATATTCTCCTCTTGTTTGCCTTATTTCACTAATTCCTTCAAAGTTTTGAAAAAGTAAATAAATGTAATATCCAAATTGCCTTTAATTTATGTAAATTCAATTCTTCAATAAGAATAAACATTTATTATATATCTAGGGCTTTTTACATATCAATAGTTATAAATATTTGCTAACCATCAAATCCATACAATTATTTGAACTGAGTTACGCTAATTTGGTAAATGATAGGGCCTCGTTCTCGAAATTCATACACAATTTATGTTTAATTTACGTCGATTTATTATGTAAGTAAAAATTAAAGGAAAAGATAACAATTTAATATGCGTACAAATAAATTTTGTCTTCTCCGCATTCTTTTTATTATTACTGTGATAAGCTTTATCACGAAAATCCCAATATTTCATTATTAATTTTAGTTTGTTTAACAAATAGTTAATTTATGATTAATGTTTGCCAAATATTTATACTATTATAAATAGTACACCTAATGTTTGTTTAATTTCAAATTTTCTTTGATGCGATCTTCAAGATAACAATGCAAGAAATTTCCTTGAATTTTAAATTACTTTATTTATTTATTTATGAATATGTATATTAAAATTATATTCAGATAATTTTAAGTTTCATTAAAAATCTCTATCAGTAATTCGACAATAAATTTTCCACGATACTAATTATAAAATTTTATTACGATTGTAAGTCTTAAGCATTACAATTTAGAACAACGCGTAACATTTAATAAATCAAAATTATTTACATCTAAATTATTTATATAAAAGTACATTTTATTTTGGAATGTTAATAAATTGAAATTATATTTTTTAATTAATTTTATCGTTTATAAATATATTCGAACAATAGTGAATCAATTATTAATAATATTATTTAATTTCTCATAATTTACAGTTTATTACGTATAAAGAAACATTTATTTATACGTAAGGATTTTTGTTATTAATTAAAATGCTCTTTAAAATTATTTATCCATCTTATTGTGCATCCTTTATTTACAATAAAATATTATTTATAAATAATTATTTTATTCTTTAGTAACTGAATTTTTTACGAATAATTTTTAATTTGAGAAATCTATTAAAGTATGAAGTAATTTTGTTTCAATAAATGTTACGAATACTGAATTTCTAATAATAATGTTAGCAATACATTATATAAGTGTATTTTTGCAGAGTTAATGTTAAATTATTTTAATTATTCTCAAATATTTCATTACTGGAGTTAATCTTAATAATGAATATTTATGTTTTAATTTGTGGTTGACGTTCAGATTCTGTTTTAATTTAGTTCAAAATAATGAATAAAAATTTATATATTTATATGACAATAGTGACAACATAATTTTAAATATCGTCTTTCGAAATCATTTTTTTTGTTTCAGAAAATTATTTCAATTGTATAATTCTATATTCTTATCATAGTTCCAAATAAATCTAATTAAAAACTTTTACTCGCACACTCTAAGTCCACAATAAGAAATAACTTTAAAGCCTAATGTTACTATATTTAACAAAGTGCCGGCTCATCTGCCATACAACTTTTTTAATTAGTTTTCTCACAACAACTAAAAATAAGAATATTGTAATATAGTAGTGTTAGATAAAAAAAAAAAAGGCCTAACTATAGAGAAATAATGAGATTTAGAAGGAGGAACAAAGAAAAAGAGATAATGAAAAAATAATAATGTGTGTATAGAGAAGTAAATAGAGCAAGTAATAAAAATATATCGATGAAAAAGAGAAAAAGTATAAGATAAGACGAAAACGAAGAAATAGATGACGAGAGGGAGATAGAGATAGAGATAGAGGTAGAGAGAGAGGAGGAGGAGAGGAAGGAGAGAGAGAGAGAGAGAGAGAGAGTGAGAAGGGGGGGTGTAGTAATGTTAGATGTTGCGATCGATATATTACTGATTCACATATTTCCACACACACCCACACACACACATAGACATAAATATTACATTAACAAATTTTATATTTTATAAATAATATACACATAATTTCAAACTTTCTTAAATAAAAGTTACAAGTGAAAGAAATACTTTCAACAATGGAAAATAACGTATGATTTATAACACAGAGAAAATCTTTAGTTTACGGTGGAAAAACTTGTTCATATTTTATTAAGCAGATTATTGAATGAGATTTTAACTCTGTAGACGAATTAATTGATTTCAGGAGAAATAAATTTATTAATATTTTCATTTAAAATAATGTCTAATAATATTTTACGTCTGTTTAGTACTCTTATAAGTTTTATGAATTTATAAATGAATATACGTTAACCATAAACATAAGCCGTTCATTAACAAATGTTCTCATAATAAATATGTTAACAATGTAATTACTTATATATTGAGATTAATAGTGTGAATTTGAGATTAAAGCAATTGATAGGATAAATGAAACATTAAATATCATTATTTATAGATTAAAACAGTAACTGAGACAGGATTGAATCTCGAAAGAGGTCCATTATAAAATTGAAGATCGAACTATGGTTCTCACTCTATTCATTGTACTCTGTCTTTCTCTTTTCCTCCGAAGCTATTCGAGCTAAGAGATGCCCTTATAGGATTTTGGAGGTTGGGTTAAAAGCGAAGCGCTGTACCATGCAATGGATCCGATTAAATATTATTATGAGAAGAAAGGAGATGTCGTATGCTACAACAAAGTTTCTCGCAAATAACAATTCTTACTTTTTCTCCCTTAATATTTTTATAATTTTGACTATTTAAGTTGATTTATAATTGATACGAAGAAAAAAAAAATTTGCAGCACTGTATTTTTTGTTTAATAATAATAATCGCTCGTTATCTCACTAGTATATATGAATTTATTATTGATCACGATTATTGATTTAGCTTATACATAGATTAATAAGCAGATCAGTAATCGTTATGTCTTTGGAAGATTGATATATTTGGCGATAAGACAAGGAGTGAAAGAGAGGGATAGAGGGAGGGAGAGAGTGAGAGTGAGAGAGAGAGAGAGAGAGAGAGAGAGACACGGAGTGAGTGAGAGAGAGAGAGAGAGAGAGAGAGAGAATTCAATTAATAAAAGGAAGGAGGTTATTTAAAAGATACCTACTATTTATCATTTTAACATTACGTGTATAATAAATATACGTATTATTTAAGTAACACAATTATGTATAATAATGCAAAATAATATAATTTGCAACCTTTTTTTACGTGACAATATATGTAATATAAATAATAATCTGCTAATATGTTGTATTTATTATTATTATTATTGTTTCTGTATATTCCAATGAAATATTAAAATTAATCATGTATAACTGGCTATTAAATATTGTGGATAGTAATCTAGAATTTATGCACGCGCGGAACGGTACGTAATTTGTAAACGTTGTTGAATCAATATGTCGAGTAAGTACACAAGACGCTTTTATTACTTAAGTGAATATTTTTTTTTTATTCTTCAATATAATTAATTTCAATGTGGGTTTAATAAGACATTGAGAAAAGTAAGGCATTATAATAGTAAATAATCCATCTTACAGTAGTAAATACTCCATCTATATAAGTGCTTTTAAATAAGTAACTTTTATCCACTGGCTTAGAAAGATCAATATGTATTTTAAAATTATAATTCTTGTAAATCTGATATTAAGTTGTAGTAAGTAAGAGTTATTCGTATATGGAGTCCTTTCGTTTAATTTAAAGAAAAAAAAAAAGAAAAAAAAAAAAAAGGAATGTGCCTGTTTAATAAAGTTATACAGTGCGATTAAGACTTAAAATATTGCAGTCGTGATTTTCTATTTATAAACAATAATGACTTATTTGTAAAAAAAAGAAGAAAAAGAAAGAAAAAAAGAAAACTCATGAATAATACGTTGAATATATTTTATAGATTATTATTTTCTTTAATTTTCGTATTTTAAAAAATTCTTTCAGATCCATTCCCTAGGAAGGCAAAGATCATTGGAGGTGTAATTACGGATATCACTGAATTTCCATTCGCAATTATAATAAGAAATCCGGATAATCGAGTTAGATGTGGCGGTGCGATCATCAGTAATAAACATATTTTGACAGCAGCTCATTGTGTCGAAGACTCGAGCGTCCGTTCGAAATTAAAAATAGTCACGGGAACAACGACTTTATCAGGTTCCCATAAATCGGTATACAGAATAAATACTGTATTTATTTATCCTTTGTACCGAGCTGGCAGGACAAATAATAATATTCATCTGTATGACATCGCCGTGATTAGCGTGAGTTAACAAATATTTAATAATCAGTCGATCCAATAGGTTATTTATCAATAACACATGTGACAGGTAGAAATTGAAGGTAGCTGAAGGTAGTGAAATAGAAATATGGAAAATCATTTCTAGCATGGAATTTTTGTGGAAATATCTTCGCGTTTCTTAAAGCTGCGGAATCTTTGATTTATCATAGTTAAAAATTATTTTTATTTTTAGTTTTTGGTCAATCATCATGTCAATCATCATAAGAAAAATTAATAACTACTCTTATAAAGAGCTTTACGAAGTTTTAATTATTTTGAAAGATTTTTAATTAATTAAATGATAATAATGTGCAATTTATTGGGAGTGTAAGTTAATTATTGGATTGCCATTGTGATTTAAATGTATTATGAATTAACAAATGTAAAATAAATGCAAATCTATTTCTATAACGGCAATATTCTTAGCGGTAAAAATTAGTTAGCAAGTAGTTTTTCCTATGCTTATTTAATAATATATAATTTATTTTATTTATATTAAGTTTTTTCTCCGCTAATAAACACCAATAATTTACTCATTAGCATGCAATAAAAGTAAAATTAAAATTTTTCTTTTAATATTATGTCGATTTCAGTGTTTAAAATAAGAATTGAATATGCTTTATAATAAATTTCTTAACTATGTGGATAATGTTAAATTATTTATATAAATACATTTTATATTTAGATTATCATGATAGTTTACATAATAATTTATTACATATAGAGATACATATATATTGACAAACGTTAATAATTGTTATTAGGTGAAAGGCAACATTGTGTTTAATAAATATCAAAATAAAATAGATCTCCCATCGAGTAATGTCGATGCTGGTAGCAACGCAATTGTTGTTGGTTGGGGACAAGTAAATAAGAATGTAACTAAAGATTCGGAAGAATTGAATAAAGCTTGGATGACGGTACTTGATAATAAGGAATGTGCAATGACTCATCCGTTTCATATAGCGGATGAACAACTTTGTGCATATCAAAAAGTAAACGTTGGCCTCTGTACAGTAAGTAAATTCAAAATAATACAACGATAACATAAATACAACATAAGGAAAGATTTTTTTTTTATTATTTCATTAGAACCTCTATGATTTATATATTGAGAATAGCTTTTGTTAATTTGTATTTCTTAATATAAACTATCTCAGATCATAAATTAGGCTTATACGTTCAAAAATTTTTTGGCATTTATTTTAAATTACAATCAACTTAAATAATCCGTACTATTATTTTGGATTAAGACATAATTTGTTTCTTTTTTCTTTTTTCTTTTTTTTTTCTTTTTTTTTTCTTTTTCTTATGCAGGGTGACAGCGGCGGTCCATTGGTCAGTAATGGTAAACTCATAGGCATTGCTTCGTTCGGTCTCCCATGCGCCACAGGTATATCCGATATATATACCCGAGTTTTTTCTTTCAAAGACTATATAATTGGCGTTATGGCTATTGAAGCTTAGAAGTAAATATTGTAATTTTAAAAGCTCACACTAGTACATCACAATTGTATATTATCATTTTAACGACGAATTTGTCTATAAAATATCTAAAGACTTTGTCAATAATTTACATAAAAATCAATTCATATTCATTTTATTTAATGATAAAACGATTTATCATTGTAGTGTGGTATTTACCGTATGTAAAATGCACGATTTTGTGCTTTTTTTTTTTTTATTATTTTTTTTCTTTTTTCTTCTTATTATTATTCCCATTAGCACTGTGCAGCTGCAAAGGGATATCGAAGCCTCTCAGATACATAAAATCACTATAATTTTATTCTAAATTATTATTTCGTTAATTATATTATAAATCTCTTACAATCTATTATAAAAGTCCACATAAATATCATATTTAATGTAACAGAAATCATATTCAACGTAAAACTAATATCTTTTTAAATGATAAAAATGTGTATTTTAAAGTAGATATTAGCAACTAAAATTATATTTTATATATTTATTATATGAAATTAGAAACGAACTTATATGAAATGCATATTATCTACTATTTATCGCAAGTACTACCAATGGCAAGAAACATTATATTATCTAAATGTTTAATCAGTGTATTAATCTAACGATGTTTCACGATTCCACAAATAAATAAAACGTATTTTATTACGTAAATTATTAAAAATGTTTATTTTATTAAAATTGAAATGAATTTAGTCATAAGATTATTCAAATATAAAATATAATATATAAATTAAAAAATACACGCGCTTTTATTTATTTCTGGATATTTTTCTTTTTATAATTATTAGTAATAATAATGATGATGATGATGATGAAGAATGATGAAAATAATATTAACAATAAGAATAGATGAATTTTATAATATTAATTCAATATCGATAAATTATTAAATCTGAGCATCAAAATAGTGATGAGTTATTATATCAAGTAAATATGTTTTATCTCATGGTCTAATACATCATATTTCATGTTTTTACTCGACTAACTTATTAATATACGAACTTTTTTATTTTAGAGCATCAGAAACCGTATGCTATTCAAATGACATTTGTTATGCGTAATGTTTTGTTAATATCTAATTGTCTCATAGACATGTAAATAAATGAATGTTAAATAGTTCAAGGTTTTTTTTTTCTTCTAGCGATTGAATTAAAAGGATTTTGTTTGTTATTTTAAATAAATATTATTTACCCGATTTTACATCTAATAAAATATTTATTTTCTCACGGATATTGTGAGTATTGCGAAGCTCGGATAATTATGTGATTTCGAAATCGAACACATTTCGTTACCTCTTCTATTTGCTTTGTATTATAGTATTTTGTAATAATGTTAGATTTTTGTTTTTTCTTTTTTTGTTTTTTTTTTTTGTTTAAACTACAGATATTTATTAATTATTGAGGTTGCTAGGACTGTGAGCATTAATTTTAAATTGCAAATGATAACGACAGTTTCATTTTTGCGATAAAGAAGATTTTCGTAGCTCGTTTAATAAAAATAATATATAAGGACTGTAGTAGAATATATTTTCAGAAAAAGCTTTTGCGTAAAGTTTTATTGATTTTAACAAAGAAGATGACAATAAATGCTCTTAACGCATCCAAACTAAAGGTAATCGTTCAGCCAAATATTCTATGTAATTGATGTTTAACTTAGTTAAATGCTTAAGTGAATTCGGATATGGATAGAATTTATTAAAATTAATGGCCATAAACTCATACAAGTTAGAATCGGATCATAAGTGTTAAACAATAAAAAGTGCGAAAAGAAAATTCTTATTCATATTTGCCGTTTATTCGAGGAATAAGTATAATACAAGCACATTATGAAAATTACAATTAAAATTTAAATTCTGGCATTTTTGAGAAATTATAAATTGTTATGAAATAATACGAATGCAGTGCACGAATTACATGTTATTTTTTTTTAACATAAACAATCTCTATTAGTTACAATTTACAATTTAATATTAAAGGAATAATTATAAAAGTGAAATGTTACCATCTTTATATTAACAACCAATCATTAATCCATAATGAATAATTATTATCGTTGTTTCACTCGACAACATTTCCAACTAATAAATTATCTAATTAGTTAACACGGGAGATAATTCATTTTGAGAAAAAATTTGCTTGCAAATAATTTGATTTATTAAAAGTATAATTATAACAGTAGTAGCTACGAGGCATTAATAATTATCCGCGTGACAAAAGCTTCAACGGCAATTGTCCTTCTTTTTAAATGATCAAGCTAAGGTCGCGCAATTATTTTCCAAAGTAATAACATTTTATTAAAATTATGAAAAATAGAGGTCAGCTAGTTGTGGAGCTGGTGCTGTCGAAATTGAAAATGCTATAACGCAGCCTAGCGTAAAGAGAGTGGGTTAGGTGAACCGGAAACGCGAGAGTACGGCAGAGCTTACGGTCCGGTGCCTTTGCGGTTTCGCTGGCACACGGAATCCTCTGCCAATTATACAACGTTTGCAGTGTATCTTCATGTTCAGCATCCGCGGCCGGTACCGCCCTTCTTTTTATTGTTCCTTCCTACCGAACGCAATGACAATTATACAACGTTGGGAAAAAAAAATCGAAAACGCCAAAGGAATAAATTTATTTGGAAAATGCTATCCGTTATATAATCAAGTTATTCGTGTAAATATTTGCGTTTAAAAATTGTAAATTTTTAATTTACTATCTATAGTCACTACATTATTAGGCTAAGCATACAATTTTTAAATGGACTTTTCTCTTATTTCCCATCTTACTCTGTTTTTACAGATAATAAAATTTCATTGCCTATGGCATTATAATGCTATGATTTTTCAATTTTACAACAATTGATATATAATATATATATATATATATATATATGTATTTAAATTTCTATTTTAATTTATGATAATTATGAGTCTACGCATCACCAAGTTTTGAACGTTATTTGACAATTCTGTTTCTAAATTAAATTTTAGGCGAAATACAATTAATATCTCAAATTAGGAGAATTATTATCATGTATATTATGAAATTATGAAAATTTCGAATTATGAAAATCGAAACGAAAATTATGAAAAAAAAAGAAAAAACGAACGATTATGAAAAAATTAAAAAAATTCTTTATCATTTAAGAGTAGAATATTAATCTTAAATAAAGTAATTAATTCAATTACTCTTATACTAGAGACAATATAATGATTTTAATTACTACTACATGTAGTATAGAAAAAAAAAAAAAAAAAAAAATGATAATGATAATAGGCCAGATAGATTTATAAAAATATGATATTTTTTCTTTTTAACCAACGCATTATTGTCTTCTAAAAATTGTAAAGACAAATATTTTATCAATTACTACTTATGTCTGAAGCGTGTGTCGAATACAAGTCGAATGTAATAAAACTTTTTGAATTGAAAGGGCAATTTTAAACGCTTGAGACAAAATGATAAAATGATTATAAAATAATTCATTGGAAATACGTCAAAATGAATAATACGTTTGAGCCACGAGACTAGAGATTGAAAAATTGCATTCATATATTTACTTTGTAATTGAGAGAGTATTTTAAGTTTATTAGTACAGGATTGATAGGACACAAAATATATGAGAAAAATGTATGATCAACATTGTTGATTCGTAATATTTATTTGGTAAAATTAGTGCTCATTATTATATATACAATATTATTCGCAATAAATTCTCGAAACAATCATATTGCTGTTTCTTCATTAATCGTTACTTTCATATGTAAATACAAGTTGTCGTTAGTTGCCATCAAGAGCTCACAATTAAATTATTAAGTAATTTAGTAGCGCATGGAAGCTCGTAAATTGGTCGATAAAGCAAGAATATCCCACGTCACGTGAGTAATACGAAACTTTAGAATTGTACGGTCAGATAAAAGTATATGTCATGGAACATTCAGAGAAAAAAATGAAATTATGACATTTCTGGTTAATATGTGTACGTCAAGATCAATTATGGCCTGTCAAGAATAATTGCCTATTAGTGTATATATATATATATATATATATATATATATATATAATTAATATAAAATTAATTATACATTGATTTTTAAATAAATAATATCTGGTATTTATGTTAGTTTTTATTGTGAAGTAGTAAAACGCTCAGACTTATTATTATTATGCGGAAGGGATCAATAATGAATATTGGCTAGGAAATTTTTCTAAATACATTTATTACTATTTGCAAACAATAATACATTTTAGATGTAAATATTTTCATTGAGCATAGGATAGTCGATTAAAAATTACGTGATATTTTTTTAATACAAACAACATTGGATAATAATTAAATAATAATTCACAGTCTATCGCAGATGGGTGTTAAATATAGAACGGTTCGTGTAATTTTTTTCTCTCTTCTATCTTCTGCGCATCTTTGCTACTTTACTCGGCCTGTGCATCGCAGCCCTGGTCATAAATATAATGATAAGAAAAAAGATAAAAGAAAAAGTTCGCAAGAAGCATCGTCGACTGGCTGTGTTGACGATTTATTGTATATTAGTTCCTTGGATTTGTCAATCTAGAATTTTCTTTTTCGTTGCTGAAAAATCTTACGTTGACACGAGGAGTAAAACCATAAATTCTGGAATCGAATCCAGTGTGAAATTTTCGAGACAAGGATTTTCTTTCTTGCTTGAGCTTCTCTCGCGTGGCCAAATATCAAGATTTTTAAAGAATCATAAAAAATCATATCGAAAATAAAGAATTTTCTATATTCTATGCTTAATATATTTCATAATCGATACTCATTATCAATTATAATTTCTTTATTATAATGTACTCACTTAATTTATAATTTATGGTTATTTACAATAAAGAGATATATATTTCTTTTTTTTCTTAATCGTTATTAATCATTTTTAATAAAAAATATTTGTCGTAAAAAGTTAATTAAATTAAGAAATAAATAAGAAGCCATATTGTATTTTATCAAAATCATTTACATTATTTACTGTTTACTGATTTACTGTCAATTA